CATTTTTGGTGGTTTTGCATTATTTTTGAAGTTTGAAACCTTTGGTCCCCATTCATCAAATTCTCCATATGTGACCCTGGAGCACAAAACCAGTCATAAGGGTCAATTTTTCAAAATTGAGATTTATACATCATCTGAAAGCTGAATAAATAATATTTCCATTGATGTATGGTTTTGTTAGGATAGGACAACATTTGGCCGAGATACAACTATTTGAAAATCTGGAATCTGTCTCTCTCTCTCTCTCTCACACACACACACACACACACACACACTCTCTCATGCAGTCTATACAAGCAATCCAGATGAATGCACAACTGAACTAAGAACTAAAATCATCTGCACATGATCAGCCATTATGACACATTTCACATATTTGGGCTGCAAATTGATGTATGGTTTGTTAGGATAGGACAATATTTGGCTGAGATACAACTATTTGAAATCTGGAATCTGAGGGTGCAAAATAAATCAAAATATTGAGAAAATTGTCTTTAAAGTTGTCCAAATGAAGTTCAATGCATATTACTAATCAAAAATTAAGTTTTAATATATTTACAGTAGGAAATTTACAAAATATCTTCATGGAACATGATCTTTACTTAATATCCTAATGATTTTTGGCATAAAAGAAAAATCGATAATTTTGACCCATACAATGTATTTTTGGCTATTGCTACAAATATACCCCAGCGACTTAAGACATCTTGTGTGTATGCTGCTTGATTATGGCAAAAATCATAATCACAATTATTTTGGTCAACGTTGTAAGTACAATTATTTAACACTATTAGAAATTGGAGATATGACCAAAATCTTAAATGAGTAATTTTTTTTTCTTCTTCACGAAAGCAATATATTTAGCTGGAAAAAAGTTCACTCCATAGTCTTCACTGTGAGAATTAAACATACATTGATTCTTATTAGCTACTAAAGCTATTCAGTCAAGAGCAGTGAGTGATTTTCTCTTATTCTTTTGTTGTTTGATTCACATAAAGGACACAGCAGCAGGTTTCTTTGTTTGAAGGGCTATCTGGCCCTTCCCCTACCCCTACCCCTCCAACCAAAAGAGAATCGAGACACCCCTACCCCTTCACGTGAACGCACGAAACGGAGGGGTAGGGGAAAGAGGAGGGCTAAGGGGTAGAATTGGGATTGGGCCTTAAGACATAACCGATTGTATTTATGTGAATACTTGCCAGAACAGACATTTTGACTTTTGTGTGTGTGTGTGTGTGTGTGTAAATGAAGGATCGCAAACTAAAATCAATTAATCGCACAGCCCTAGTATGTGCCCCCAAATCATCAGTGTCCAGCATTTAGATATGATTGAGGTAGTGTGAATTTTATCCCAGTTCCCTGCTAAAGTGGGGTCCTCTCCAGGGTCAGTGTAGGGATAAATAAACAAGCTGTCTTTACAACAATCCATCTCTCCTCACAGCTCCCAGTTTCTTTTAGTTTTTTCCTAGAAAGCTGATGGAAGTGTGTGTAGAAGTGTTGAAGAGAAGAGTACAGTCTCCTTCGCGAGAGAGAGAGCTCTTTCACAACACAGGTTTCTTTCAGCATCTGCATCCCCTCACAGGGCTTGAGGTCTGGCCATCAGCAGGTCAGGTAGAGCTACAAAGAAAGACAGCACAGACGAGTGATTGTACCACATACCCAAGAGCCCCACACCTCAAAACCAGACCCACATGGAATATGCAGACTTCTCATGCACTGTGATGACATCCATGTACTTCTGTAGAATGCATATAAAAGTGCGTTATCAAATAAATGCTTGTTATCCAATGACCCCCATGATGGGGGATTCAACTCTGCGGAAAAATGAGTTGTGTGGGTCTTGTGCGGGCCTGCCTCATAACACACAGATAGGGCCTGAACTGACTCTTTTAACCTCCTCAAACACAAATGTCTCAGTTAACTCTGGGGAGTTAAAAAAGTGATGTTATGCCTATTGCTTTGTGCCATGGAGCTTCCAGCAGTCTCCATTTCTTGCTTTAACCTGCCCTCTTGTTGTAGTGCCATGGAATGTTCTCCGACTCTGGAGATTTTTTTGTAGTAATTGAGTATAATTAATTTGACTTTAATAGAATCTTTTTACTGGCAAACTACCAAGACCAGTGGAATTTATTTCTGGAACTTTCGTGCAAAGTCCTAATATAAAACATGGGATTAGGACCTTACAGTGATCGAATCGGCCAACTTCTGGTTTCTAGTCCTGAGATTTAACCACTATGCCACATCAACCCCTTTCATCCTCAGCTTAAACCTTCGAATGAATTATTCATTTGCAGACCTTCACAGCTGTCATGCCATTCCTCATGAGTGTCAAGAACGTCCAGTGTGAAGACACTTACGCGTCAAGCTGATTTACATCAGAGCGCTTCTGCCAAGCATGGCAAACTTTGTGTCCTGTGTGATTCAACACAATGTGAAAGTTTGACACCAGCTTGTGATTCCGAGGGTTGGAAGACCTTGCAGTTCCAGCTCTTCAAATGCATGGTCTGCAAAATGTTTGCCCTCAGCTGGAGTCTCAGTGTGTTTATGAAAATAATCAAATCGAGCCTTCATATTTATCCAGTCTGATGTATTTCCGCTCTACTTGTCTATGTTGTCCCATTTCACATCTAATAGACACAGCAGTCAGCTCTGAGAGGCCATGGGTTCAGGAAATGAACAGCTCTTTTGGCTTACCCCATATGGATTGAGTAAAAGCATCTGACCTTCTGCTTCTCATGTGATAAAATGTCGAGCCAAAATACCTGCACTACAAAATAGACCACAAAAGAGGTTCCACTGTGATTCCTGATAAGACGAGTCAGGCATTTTGTGGGTTAAAATCCAGGAATAGGCAAAGCTTCCAGACTGACACTGCAGACATCTAGAAATTTTAAATTTGTTTCTTGCACAGCTTAAACCTTCGAATGAATTATTCATTTGCAGACCTTCACAGCTGTCATGCCATTCCTCATGAGTGTCAAGAACGTCCAGTGTGAAGACACTTACGCGTCAAGCTGATTTACATCAGAGCGCTTCTGCCAAGCATGGCAAACTTTGTGTCCTGTGTGATTCAACACAATGTGAAAGTTTGACACCAGCTTGTGATTCCGAGGGTTGGAAGACCTTGCAGTTCCAGCTCTTCAAATGCATGGTCTGCAAAATGTTTGCCCTCAGCTGGAGTCTCAGTGTGTTTATGAAAATAATCAAATCGAGCCTTCATATTTATCCAGTCTGATGTATTTCCGCTCTACTTGTCTATGTTGTCCCATTTCACATCTAATAGACACAGCAGTCAGCTCTGAGAGGCCATGGGTTCAGGAAATGAACAGCTCTTTTGGCTTATCCCATATGGATTGAGTAAAAGCATCTGACCTTCTGCTTTTCATGTGATAAAATGTCGAGCCAAAATACCTGCACTACAAAATAGACCACAAAAGAGGTTCCACTGTGATTCCTGATAAGACGAGTCAGGCATGTTGTGGGTTAAAATCCAGGAATAGGCAAAGCTTCCAGACTGACACTGCAGACATCTAGAAATTTAAAATTTGTTTCTTGCACAAGACTTCCAAAATCTTGTGAGCTGCCAATATAGGCAGCTATTTAAGGCATCGTAGCTACTCAGGACAAAATGACTGTTCCCAGAGATTAAAAGCATTATTTCTCTGCATTTTAAGATGCCTTCTTTTGACCAAATTCTTAAGCAGCATTGCATTTATTCTTCACAAAGAAGGCAATCCCAGAATGCACTGCAAGGAACATCTATCCCCAATGGCAAACAAACCAAACTCTGCTGTAACTTGAGACTTCTAGAGTGTTCCAAAATGGTCCTTTACGAGGTTCTGGTAGAATGCTGAAAGCCTGGCTGAAAATATCAAGCATGTTTAATATCCTCCGACTGGATGGAATCATAATCTGAAGCTAAAAAAAAAAATCTGTCTGTGGCTATCATACACTACACCGTTTTCTATGAATTCTGTCAATTCTTACTGCCCAAAATCTGCAGACTGGCTCTGATTTTTGGCAAATAGCATTGACTTGTCCAGGCTGCTAATTAGGCCAAAAGTTGTATAGTGTAGGTAGGTTTGCAAAAAAATTCCAGAAATTTATCGGAGATTTTCTGCCCTTTTGAAACCCTAAGTGTCAGTAACTGATAGCAAGGCAGCTCACTAGGTTTACCTAGTTTACCCCTCATACATAAGATAAAAGAGTTGTTTTCTTAGTTTTACTGGATGCTTTCATGCTTAAGTAATGGCGGCAAAAAAGCACCACAGTGCAACTTGGCTCGTTCTTTATGGGGCCACTTGTGCCTCAAGTGACAGCTTCCTCTTCTAAAGTGATATGTTTGCAGCAATGGCTGTCAGTGAGAACTTCACTAAGACAAAATTCTGGAAGGAGATTTACGTCTGGGACGTCTGAAGCATTTGAGGGGGGTGTTCGAAGACAGTCCTGTTACTCACCTGGGAGAGGTCTTGCTTTGATTTCGGCATGTCCTAACGTAATACATCCACCCCAGACAAGTAGCATTTTCATTTGTCATACTTCTGTAAACATCAGACCATACGAGGGTGGCTGTGCCCAAAGGACACTGTTTTTTGTTGTTGTCTGAGCTTGTACTGAAAAGAATATATCTCCCCCTTATTGCCCCATGTGTCTTTTTTTTATTCGCCTCATGAAACCTTGTTAATTTCAGACTTTAGTCTCTAATTGTGCCACAGCTTGAGCAATACGAGGCACTTTTACAAGCCTTTGGTTTGTTGGCGATCTCACATGTACTGGGGTTTTCACTTTTTCTATTCTCTTTATGACCACACATGGCCTCAAGTGGGGAATGATGAAAGTGTAACTGTGTGCTCTGGTATCAAATTAAGCCAATACAAGTTATCGAGTGGCTTCTTTATTTGGCCGTAGCCTGCATCTTTCCCAAAAGTATTGTTCTTTAGTTGTCAAAAGTTTCTTTTTCCACCATTCTCTTTAAAGTTTTCTGTTTGTATCCCACTCAGGTTTTCAGTGTTGCATCATGCAGCTCTCACGGGCACTACGGAGTTGCTCTCTCTGCTGTTGGAAGCTCAGGCTGTTGTGGACATCAAGGATAGCAATGGTTAGAACTGCCTCCTCATTACCTTCAACTCTACATTGAGTAAAACTATCAACTGGTTGTGATTTACTTGCATATTAATCCAAGACCTCAATCTTTCTTTCTGTTTTCTTTCTTTCTGCACTCAAAAAAATGAAAATTCGGTCATCATTTACTCATCACCGTCAACTGCTTCAAATTAAATTCCTTAGCAATTTCTTAATTTAAATGCATTGGTATTAAGGGAGTAAACTGGATGCAGAATAATATGAATTTAAACGTATTATCATATTCCCAACATAGAGAGTATTTCTTGAAACATAAGATGGCATTAAATTGCATTCTAACTCATGCATTGAAATGGAGCCAGTGCTTACATTTTGTTCAGACTTGTATAGCGCTTGCATAACTCTGCGTCAGAGATTTAATTCATGTTTTGCTCTGCAGGCATGCGGCCGCTGCATTACGCAGCATGGCAGGGTAAAGCTGACTCGGTGCTCATGCTGCTGAGATCAGGGGCTGCCGTTAACAACGCGTCTCACGACGGGCAGATTCCACTGCACCTGGCTGCTCAGTACGGACACTATGAGGTGGTGCGTATCCATTAGATCTGTGGTTCCCAATCATGTTCCTGGAGCTTCCCCAGCACTGCACATTTAGCATGTTTCCTTAATCAAACACACCTGCTTCAACTCATCAGCTAATTGTAGAGACTCTGAAATGGGTGTGTCAGACAAAGGGGACATGCAAAATGTGAACCAGTGCAATAGACCAGTGGTTCCCAACCCTGGTCCTTGAGGCACCCCAACACTGCATGTTTTGCATGTCTCCTTAATCAAACACACCTGATTCAGGTCATCAGCTCATTAGTAGAGACTCCAAGACCTGAAATTGGTGTGTCAGAGAAAGGAGACATGCAAAATGTGCAGTGTTGGGGTGCCTCCAGGACCAGGGTTGGGAACCATTGCATTAGACCACACTCAGATGCTTCAAAACAGATTGCTGTGAACAAACATGTCACAAATGCTCCTGAACAAAGAGCAGAGCAGTTTAGCACTGTGGCTTAAATGGGCCGGTTTGAAAATGTTGTTCCAAAAGCACCCTGGGGAGACTGGCCGGTCCATTCCTGTTTGAGAAAGTGTTGTTGGATACATCACCTGTGAATCATCTGACATAACCTCATTGAAATGCAAAGAAATATGATATATGCATTGCAACATTAACAAGTGACCCCAGATGGCTTTTTGTGTGTATTAGTGATGGATCAGAGATAATCTAATTATTTTCGGTCTCATGTCACATATATGTGACCCTGGAGCACAAAAGCAGTCTCAAGTCGCTGGGGTATATTTGTAGCAATAGCCAACAATACATTGTATGGGTCAAAATTATAGATTTTTCTTTTATGCCAAAAATCATTAGGATATTAAGTAAAGATCATGTTCCATGAAGATATTTTGTAAATTTCCTACTGTAAATATATCAAAACTTAATTTCTGATTAGTAATATGCATTGCTAAGAACTTCATTTGGACAACTTTAAAGGCGATTTTCTCAATATTTAGATGTTTTTGTACCCTCAGATTCCAGATTTTCAAATAGTTGTATCTCGGCCAAATATTGTCCTATCCTAACAAACCATAAATCAATGGAAAGCTTATTTATTCAGCTTTCATATGATGTATAGCTCTCAATTTCGAAAAATTGACCCTTATGACTGGTTTTGTGCTCCAGGGTCACATATTGACAAACAAAGTTGGTATAAAAACATCATTCTTCAATTCTTTCTTTCTCTCTCTCTCTCTGTTTATCAGTCTGAGATGTTGTTGCAGCACCAGTCGAACCCGTGCATTCTAAATAAGGCTAAGAAGACTCCTCTGGATCTGGCCTGTGAGTTTGGCCGAGTGAAGGTCAGTGAGCTCATCTCTGTAGGGACTTATCAGTGTTTCAGTACGAGTGTGTTTGTGCTCATTTCTTCATGTGAGATGTCATTTGTTGCATCACTGTCACTATGGTTACAGTGATCTCATAAATTACATCTGATGTGAGGGTAATCTCACAAAATCTGACAAGAACATGTCCAGGTCATATTTTACCTCAACATCCAAAATTCTCATCTCTCTCTCTTCTGCCCTGACTGTGATTTGTTTTCCCGTCTGTCTTTGTGTGTTATTCATTTTACCGAGTGAATGAGAGCTCAGATTTCAGTAGCTGCTTTGTTTTACGCGTTCTCGCGCACACATGCCCAGTGGTGTGTGATTTCACTTCAGCTGTGTATTTAGGCCTTTTCGAGGTGTTACTTTAATGGCAGTGTGCGTATGTGTGGTATTTAATCAGCTGCTGTATTGAGGTATCAGGGTGCGGCTGAAGCAACTGGATAATGTCTTTCTTTCTCACCCTATGTGTGCTGACGTGCAAGAAATCCACTCAGTACTGCCTGCTTAGGGTGTGCCTTTAAAATGCACACCAGTGAGGCTGTCTTCAGCATGATCTTTGATTGCTTTCGATACATGGTCAATAAAGAGTCATCATGTTTTTGATTACATAAAAAAAATTTTTTTTTAAGACATTCTATCCACCATTAGATAGAGTGGCAGACGTCACAACCTTGGCTCGCCTCACAACGTTTGGCTGCTGCAAAACATTTTTCCTTTTTGCATAAAGTTGATCTTTTCACAAACCCCAGTGCAAGTCTGATGCTCGCCTTCCAAACTGTAGCAAATGAATTGAAGCGTCTACTCAGCTTTACTGACTCTACTCCAGTGGACACACATCATGTGGCCCAGATGTTTTTGGGTGTTAATGGTCACTGGGACACATTAGTATGACCTCATCCTCACCTGTGAGGCCTCTGAGAGCCAATACTCACCTTCCCAAGAGCCCTCTGGGCGTGTGGATGATTTCATAACTCTCTCGTCTTCCCGCCTTTTCCTTTTCAGTCTCAACACTTTCATTCAATAATCTTGCTCTCAGTTCAGTTCAGTGTTTGTAGCCTACCTGTGTACCATAAATGTGACCCTGGAGCACAAAACCAGTCATAAGGGTCAATTTTTCGAAATTGAGATTTATACATCATCTGAAAGCTGAATAAATAAGCTGTCCATTGATGTATGGTTTGTTAGGATCGGACAATATTTGGTTGAGATACAACTATTTGAAAATCTGGAATCTGAGGGTGCAAAAAAATCTAAATATTGAGAAAATCATCTTTAAAGTTGTCCAAATGAAGTTCTTAGCAATGCATATTACTAATCAAAAATTAAGTTTTGTATATATCTGTATATATTTACAGTAGGACATTTACAAAATATCTTCATGGAACATGATCTTTACTTAATATCCTAATGATTTTTGGCATAAAAGAAAAATCAATAATTTTGACCCATACAATGTATTGTTGGCTATTGCTACAAATATACCCCAGCGACTTAAGACTGCTTTTGTGCTCCAGGGTCACATATACTGTTTCTGTTACAGTTTGCATAAGAATGGTTTTGTTTAACATTTTGTTTGCTTGTGCTGTAGGAATGAACTTAAATAGTGGTAGTAATGGAGTAGCCTAATTAAGTAATTTATCAAATGCAATAGAGTATTGTTGGTGCAAAACAGTGTTATTTTAGAATTATTTATACACTGTTATACTATTTGAATTGGCTTTTATTTTAATTTTAGTTTAAGTTTTAGTAATTTTGTTATGTGCTTTCGTAATGCTTGTTCATTTTTAAAAAATACTTCCTCTCTCTTCAATTCGTTTTTATTTCAGTTTTAGCTCGAGTCACTTTAGTACTACACATTACTCATTTCAATTAGTTCCCAAGGCATCGTTTCTAATGTTTAAGTTCTAATATTCAATCGAATATTTATGTTTTTATTCGATTTCAACTGAAACTCCGATTTTTCATAGTTTTAGTTAACAATAACAACACTGGTGCAAAATATGCCAATGATCTCTTTCTCTTTTGTAGGTGGCGCAGCTGTTGTTGAGCAGTAATATGGTTGCATCTCTGTTAGAGGGAGATCGGAGAGACGGCTCAGACTCAAACTGTAACACTCCTCTGCACCTCGCCGCACGCAACGGACACAAGGACGTCATCCGGTGAGCTCTTGAAAACCTCTTGTGTGTGTAGCACGTCTGTAGGCATCAGTCTCAGCTGTGTCGCGCTGTCCTGTGTCTCTGGAGAGATGCGTGTGCCTCGGCTCTGCTGTGTATTTACACTTCATTTGATTCTCCAGCTAAGGTGTTTTCCACAGATGTTAGTACCGAAACACTGCTGATATAATGTAATAAAGTGTGATTGGATGACCCACATTCGAAACCGATATGCACACCTGTGAATCAGCTGAATTCTGTATTGATGCACCAAGTTGCGTCCCAGGTGTATTTGACTGTTTCTTCAGATGAATGCAAAGAACAATAATACACCTCTGTGAGTCCATATAATGAAAGTGAATTTGAACTCCTTAAAAGCACATATGGTCATCGTGATAATCCATTCAGCCTCAGTGTATAAATCATGCCAGTCAAATCAGTGAAGCAATAGGTGTTTGTAAGATGACAGACAGCCGCAGCAGAGAGAAGAGTTTATGAAAATTTGAATTTAACGACTTAAATATTCACCTCACATAAAACTATGGAATGGCTTCAGAAGACTTGGAATATAGTGCATGAAAACTTGTGTCATTTTGAAAAAATTCATTTGTATAGAAGCCCATTTCTGCCACATAAGAAAGAAAATTCTTTGGTAAATCATAATGGTGAGATAAAAAGTCATAATTATGACATTAAAAGTCGAACTTTTGTGTTGTCAATATGGCTTTTTATGTCATATTTCTGACTTTTTGTCATAAATCATGCTTTGGTAAATCATAATTTGTTATGAGGCTTCCATAGACATTCTCAATTTGTATGGTAAAAAATATTTCATAAATATTTAAATTAAATATACATTTTATATAATATCATGGCAGTATTTATTATATTGCATTTTAGTTAGGCTAATTTAAATATTGTATCAAAGTAATGATAGTGTAATGAAAATGTTTGCATTATCATCAAAATAATGGCACCATGCCAAAAAGTAAAATAGAATGTGGAGATAATTTTCACATTTGTGCAGTGTGATTCATTTTTAGTTTGCACAGGAATGACAATGTGTGTGTGTATGTGTGTGTGTGTGTGTGTTTCCTACGGCTGTCACACTAACAGATCCCATCCTAATGCCTGGCATTTCCAGTGCAGCACTGAAATTCCATCCAGCATTCCAACAAATGAGCATCTCTGATTCCAGCTGATGTGTGTGTGTGTGTGTGTGTGTGAATTCCACAAGTCTGTGTGTATTACAGGCCCTTCAGTATGTAAATATAACACAGACTGCTAAAGAGGATGTCATCTCCTCTCTGTGGAGTAGTAGTAGGCTATTGACGCCAGTCCATTCATTGAGTTTCCATCTCTCTCTGTCTTCAGGCTTCTTCTGAAAGCAGGTATTGACATCAACAGAACCACTAAAGCTGGCACAGCGCTCCATGAGGCCGCCCTCTATGGGAAGACAGAGGTAGTGCGGCTACTCCTGGATGTAAGTTCATCTGGTTTTTGGAGACGACTCTACTACAGGGGTCGCCAACCTTTCTGACAATAAAGTGGCTTTTTACTAATATGTTTATGTCCTTTTTCCACACTGACTGTGCTTCTGCTAATGAACAGACAGCATTTACCAATCTTAATGTTTGTTTCATATGACGGCAGAATGGGATTGATGTCAATATCCGTAACACTTACAATCAAACAGCCCTGGACATCGTCAACCAGTTCACCGCATGCCACGCCAGCAAAGACATTAAGCAGCTCTTACGAGGTGAGATGCAATCTGACATGTATTTTAAGACTGCACTGACTGTATTTTATCTCCTTAAGCTGTCTTGAGAACTGTAGTGTGTGTATTTGTGTCTAACAGTGTGTATGTGGAGTGTGTTTGGGTTCATACTGCATATACACACAGTATATGAGAGTGTGTACATGGTGAAGTTTGTTTGTGTGTGTGTTTGGGAATGACCAAACGTTTAAACTGAGGATTATATAACCTGCTGCTTTCTCTGGCTAGTCCTGAGTGCATGAAAGAGACAAAAGACATCTCCTGTGTGTGTGTTTGTGTGCAGATGCATACCACAAATCTGTGGGGCCCTCCTATGAAACATAAGACGGGGCCCCACCCACAAGTGCTGATGTCATATGTGAACATTGGTATCAGGATGAAACTGTAACAGTGACAATAATGCTATTTTGGGCAATTTAGCCTTCTGTTTAGTACTCTTTACTAATTCTCTTTATAGCTGTGGCCTTTAAGAATGCACTCATTTTAACGGTATCATGCGTGATTCCTGCAGGCATGCTTCTTAAAATTTAAACTGTGGTTCACACAAAATCCACCAGGCGATGCATGGGCTTGCTTGGGTTATGTTATGAAGTGTGTTCTGACACAATTTTCACAATGCAACTTGTGGAATTAACTTTACTGAACTACACAAAAAACAAATGAACTCTGAAGTCTAGCGTCAAACAAAAAGTCTTTGAAAACTCTCTCTCTCTCTCTATATATATATATATGTCAATGTAACACATGTCCCTGACATTAATGAGTGGGAATGTGCAACTTTTGACATGATCTTCATGCATTCTGTAACAGCTGCAGTATTTATTGCCATTTTGTACAGGTGGATATAAATACATAGTTGAAGTGAATGTTGTGTCGTCTTTGAACTCAGGCAGTAAACAGACAGCTCTTATCACAATGAGCACAGACAGGCCCGTCTGCTTTAACCAGCGCCGCTCTGTGTGTGTATGTGGGCCACCACGCTTCCATAAACCTCTGACAGACTCGGAGAGTTAATTATTGATTCAGTGAGTGTGCTGTGTGTCCGTGTGTCCTCACATTCCTTCCACTGAAATAAAATCACAGAAATGACACGCTGGAGAGGTTCAGATGGCGGGACCTCACTAAACTATTTTTAGGAACATTAAAGGGATAGTTCACCCAAAAATGAAAATTCTGTCATTAATTACTCACCCTCATGTCGTTCCAAACCCGTAAGACCTCCGTTCATGCGCAAAAGAAAAAAAAAACAACTTTATTCAACAATTCGTCTCCTTCGCGTCTCCCTAGCGACATTTTGGAGAATATCCACTGAACGCAAACAGCGTATGTTGTTCTATGTCAGCTGCGTCACACGGATACGTTGTTTTACGTTCAAATCAAAGCACAAACAACGTAGAAAACGTATCCGCGTGGCGCAGCTGACACAGAATAGCATACGCTGTTTGCGTTCAGTGGATACTCTCCAAAACGGCACCTTCGTATAATTGCGGATGAACCCCTGATGTCACATGGATTATTTGCTACGTTTCTGGACGTTGATCGTGGTAGTTACCTTGCTGTCTATGGGAGGGTCAGAGAGCTCTCAGATTCCATCAAAAATATCTTAATTTGTGTTCCGAAGATGAACGAAGGTCTTACGGGTTTGGAACGACATGAGGGTGAGTAATTAATGACAGAATTTTCATTTTTGGGTGAACTATCCCTTTAAGCTATTAATATTTTTGCATTTGCATGTTTATAATAATTTTCTCAAACAAATCCTCATAAATAAAAAATATAATGGGGAAAAGTACTTAAAAAATTATTAAGGAAATCAAGCACTATACATTACAGTAATAGTTATATAATTTAATATTATAATTTTGTGTCTACATTTTTTTTTTAATTAATTTTTTTTATGTTTTTGAGCTAAAAAATGTTTTTATGTTTTTTATGTTTTTGGACAGTTTCATGAGATTTAGCAATGTATTGTAATGTACAGTATATGGTATCTAACTCTCTGAACTGTGAATTTCTGGTGTTTTGATTCAACAGATATCTGTGTGTGTGTTTTCAGAAGCTACAGGAGTTCTTCAGGTCAGAGCTCTGAAAGACTTCTGGAATCTTCACGACCCCACGGCCCTCACCATACGCGCCGGTGACGTCATCACGGTACGACCGCTTACATGACTTCATTAAAGCTCTTCACAGTCAATGTGTGTGTGTTTCTCTTAAGTACTACACCAAACCCCTGTGTACCTAGCCAGTATATTCAACTAATGTTTCAGAAGCAGTTTCGCTTGAACCGAGGCCAGATTTTTCTCTCTCTTTCTCCTTCCACGAGTTCTTTCTGTTCATCGCCTTGGTTTTTTGAGGGCGCTAAAGATACACTCACAAGTGTTTATTTGTGAACTCGAACCAAAATACATTTTCACACAGCATTGTTTCAAAGGAAATTGTGGGCAGAGTATAAGTACAGTTTAAGGGTCGTTTACTGGTGGGTTTAGAGATGTATTTCATGAGCTGAATGTTCTCGCTGCTGTTTAGTTGTTGGGCCTGAAGCTATTATATGCATGTTTGCTTAGGGTGGGCGGCTGGGTTATGTTATCTAACTTTCAAAAGCTTTCAGATCATGCATTGTCTCTGAATTCCCGACCTCCTCCTCTGTTTTGACTGGTTGTCAAGGACGTGAAAAACTGTTGGATTAAAATCCAGCGGGTTGGGTTTGCAGCAGTTTTGGGTGAGAATACTGTGGTGTTAATGCTGTGTTGTGATTGGTAGGTGATAGAGCAGCATGTGGATGGACGCTGGAAGGGCCACATTCATGACACCCAGAGGGGAACAGACCGAATTGGCTACTTCCCCCCCTCCATAGTTGAGGTCATCAGCCGACGCTCAGGTACAATAATCACCTGAAGCTTCACAGGCCGTGGTCATTATATGTTTTCGTTTGATGGATTTTATTACAGCCATTAACCCTGCCAATAACATTGTTTCCTTTACTGAATCAGTAACAGGCTGACAGATGTAACCTAGACTTATCTATTTCTTCCATCCCGCTGCTTCCCATGTAATAAATGTTCATCTCTAACCTCCATCCGCTTGCATTAAAGGAACACTCCACTATTATGGATTCGAAAACGGTAAAACTCAACTGTTTAACTCTAGGGGAGTATTTTCAAAAATAGTGGAGTGTTCCTTTAACCCTCTGCTCCTGTCATGTGTGTGTTGTCCTGTAGGGGGCACCCTGTTACGACACGCCTCTCTGCCCACCCATAGGCAGCAGCTGCTCTCCAGGTCCGCCCTCAGTCCCAGCTTGAATCTGAGCGGGGGCGGGACCCCTCAAACTGACGACTCCTATACTCTTTACACCACTAACCCACACCTGGTCCTCCCACACGCCAACGGTCTGAGCGCCAACCCAGGTATACACACTCGTTCCCCGCTCTAAGGGTGCTTTCTCACCCATTCCTACCTGGTATTAAGATGTTTTCAGTGGTCCAATCACAAACGAGACTCGTACTGTTTACACTTGGATTTAAAATGCCTTTCAAATGCATCTCCTGCGAACTCATCTGTTCAGATTTTCTCGAGACACTCTCCTATTTCGTCACACTCTACATCACTTTTGCAGGAGTGCTGAATGCATTTTATGAATACTATTGACTGAATGATCTTATGTTACAAGTAATTGGGAAAGGAAGCAAATGGAAAGGATAAAGAAAGCAGCTGCGATTTCGGCTGTGGTCTGTTCATTTTAGTATAATGCAGCAGAGTTTGAATCGTTGTTTTGGTGCATTTTATTACAACATCCCACAAAGGTCAGTAGGCTATTCAAATGCATTCAACCATATGAGCTTCTACACTACAAAAGCAATCAGTTTAAATGCTTTTTTGACAACCTCTGGAAGTGGTTGAATGTGGATAAGCTCAAAACATTTTAGACCCCATTTACACTTGTATTTAACATTGTCCAGTTGTGATTGGATCGATGAAAAAATCTTAATACCATTGTCAAACAAGGCCTAAAGCTACTGATGCGAAACTGAGTCTGTTTGACATCAGAGATCAGTTGGTCTGAAATCACTTTTCTGAACTCTCTAGCACACCAGTGAATGGGTACACGTGTGTCCTCGCTACACATGGTCTGGTACATTTCACAATGGGTATGAACGCAATAGGTATGCTTATAATGTAAATAGAAACTACTGTAGGCTTACCAGAGTGAAACAGGATAAGACAAGATCCCGGTTTTGAACCACAGATTTTTTTGCTATTGTATGCCATTTGTTCATTCTAAACCAAAATAATCTTTCGTAGTGCAGCTTTAAATACTTCCATATCAATAGATTCTTAAAAAGAGTTCCATGGCTTTTAAAGGGGTCATATGACATTGCTAAAAAAAACATTATGTTGTGTATTTGGTGTAATGCAATGTGTTTATGCGGGTTAAGGTTAAAAAAACACATTATTTTCCATATAATGTACATTATTGTTTCTCCTCTGTGCCCCGCCTTTCTGAAACGCGTCGATTTTTACAAAGCTCAGTGACGTAGATATGTGGGGGCGTGTTTAAACGAGGCGTTTTAGGTAGGCATGGTTGACTCTTAAGTTTTATAAAGAATATCTTTTTGGACTTGAGACTTTAGTCTTTGCAACTTTACAGATCTTCTTTATGCACCAAGAGCTTGTAACACTTCAAAGAAAAAGGAAAAATTGAAATTGCATCATATGACCCCTTTAATAGAGGTGGGCAGTTTGACCAAAATCTTATATCAAGACTAATCTGTAATGATTTACAGATCACAAAATATTTATTTTTGCTTATATAAATAGTTTATATATTAAATAACCATGTGGTATTGCGGTTTTTAAATAAGTACATTTTATGGATGTAAACCAAAAGATTCATCATTATATCATTAGTCATCGACAGTCATTGGGAGTTGGGGCAAATGGTTGATTATGGACCCTAGGTGGGCTCATGGTTCTTCTGTACGACAGATACAATAGAAACACTGTCTTTGCATATAAACACCATGCAGTGGCACACACTCATCTGAAGCCCTGGGACGCACACACCCTTATTTCCCGCCCACAAGACTGAGGCCAGTGGCCCAAAAAGTGTTTGTGTCCGCTAGGTGGGCCTCCCAGCAGTCTGTCCCAGCACATGACCCCCAGCTTGGAGGACGTGTGGGTTTTGCGTAACTCCTGCGCTGGTAAGAACCGCTGCACTCCCCTCCTCTGAAACGCTCCTCCCCTGCGCCCCCTACTGGCTGTCACCCCCTCCCTGCTGCAGACAGACCCTCTGATTGGCTGGCCTGTTGGACGCCACACAGACCCAGTTGGTGTGTCCGTCTCCAGATGTTAAGCCCCTGTTAGCGTACTGCGAACCCTCTCACTCCCGTAGCAGAACGTACTGTAGGTTGTGTGCTGTCATCTGTAAACCCCATCACCACATGCCTGTGGCTTTGCCCTGCTACCCCCACCCCATCCTGCCTTCTGCTTGAGTAGAAATCCAGCCCCTTAGCACAGTGGGTACAGTGTTCTCACAGCTGTGGGGTGGCACACTGGCATGGCAATGCAGACGGCTGCTGTGATGGCATAATCGCGGTCACATTATGATTGCAGTCACTCTCTGGACTAATGCCTCTGTCTCTCTTGCAGCTGGGGACAGGAACAGTGTGGGTAGCACTGGCAGTGTTGGCAGCACCCGCAGTGCAGGCAGTGGCCAGAGCACAGAAAGCAACAGCGCCCCCAACGGACCGCAGCAACACGCCACCAGCCCTGACACAAGCAAGGTAACCATTCACTCAGAGAGTGCTCTGTTCAGTCACAGGCATGATGCTTTGAAAGATACACAACTTCCAGAGTTCCCATTTAGAAATACCAGTGAAAAATGAGATTTCCAGGTCAGTCTCTGTAGTAAATAAACAATTTTCTAATTATGATGTTATTAGATATTTGAATCTTTATGAAATATTGAGTTATGGTCTTATGACAGGTGCTTTTAGAGGTAGTGAGTGATCATGAAATGTCTTAATTTGGATAAAGAGAAATTAAATTGAAATTACATTTTTGTTAAGAACATTATGGTGATCATCTTGAAGTGCTAATGTTGCTATTTTAGCAGGTAAAATGTTTTGTTCCATATATAAAGAATCTGTGTTTTGTCTCCTTTAAGACATTTGTATACTAATAATGTTTGAATTGATTCCAAGGATTCATACCTGATATGTAGGAGAAAAGTTGGCACATCGCAGCTCCAAAAATACATCCAGTTTGTTAAATTCCCACTTTGCAATGTTTAAAAGTCTACAACTCTTCATCAGACCGAAATGGACCAGTGATGCCTGTTATTTTAGTTGAACGTTTTTAGCTTCAGCCATACATTTGTCGTTCCAATGGTAACTAAAGTTTTATTGCTAAGGTTTCTTCTGACATTTCATCTTATTTTACACAGGCAACACCTTCGGTTGTGGATTTCCTACAGCCAGATCTTAACAAACATCCAGACACACCCACAGGTAAAAGAGTTGCTTGTGCCGTATTTACTGTGTGCATCTGTATACAGCGATAGTATTTGGACACATACAATTTATGAACATTACTGCATTAGATAAAATATCAAACCAAGTTCCTCTGATAGGACACCTGTGTGAACTTGAGGATAACTGACTTCAACTTAAAAAATGGCAAAACACCAGCTGATTCAAAGACACTGAAAATACCTTCAAGTGAATCTTTGTGCATATATAACATGCGTATACATTTTGTTGTTTTGAAGGAGTTCCTCGCAGACCTGTGCTGCCCACACAGAGGGCAGGAGAGCAGGGTTTCTCTCAACAGTTTGTGCGTCCTCAACAGCTGCTGGAGGGCAAGGTCAGAAAACACTATTACAGTTAAGACTAAGGTAGACCTGATAATATTTTGATATGGCAAATTAATTTTGTATTGTAAAAATATAAATCTGTTTTGTACACAGCAGGATGCAAAGTAAAAATCTGATTTTGCCATAAAATACCTTAAAATGTCTATTAAAATATCATGCATTCTGTTTGCTACCTGTCATGTCTCATGTCTTTTATCATTGTCAGGATGCTGAGGCCATCTATCAGTGGCTGAGTGAGTTTCAGTTGGAGCAGTACACTGTAAATTTCCTCAACGCTGGCTATGATGTACCTACCATCAGCAGAATGACCCCAGAGGTACGTTCAGAGAACCAATGTTTGGTTGCTTTGAAGAGAAGTGCCTCTCATTCTTGCTGCTCCAGCTAGAGTTGATGTCGATGAAGTATTTTGCCGTTTTTTCAGGATCTCACGGCTATTGGTGTGACTAAACCAGGTCACCGTAAGAAAATTTCTCTGGAGATTGGCAACCTCAGCATTCCAGAATGGCTCCCAGAGTACATACCAGTAAGTCACTATACGTTATAGTATGCATACACGTGTCTCTATGGTGTTATCTTCAGTTCACTCACAGTTAAAACTCGTCTCTTAGCAGGATCCTGGGGAGTGGCTGAGCGCCATAGGAATGCCTCAGTATCATAAGAAACTCTCTGAGAATGGCTATGACTCGATAAACATTGTCCGAGATCTCACATGGGAAGACTTACAGGAGATTGGCATCATCAAACTAGGTGAGTTTAACCTAAACATGGAATTAAAGTACATTGTGGTGGTTGTAGTTTATATATAGGGTTACCAAAGCCAAAGAAAAGCTAGAAATAGCTGGAAATGTAAAAATTGTGTGTTCTTTTTATTGTAACGGATTCCAGCTAGTAAGAGCTGTGCTGGTAAACCTCACTCCCCTGATCTCAAGAGGCGCACTAGCGACTGATGCTAGTGGCTATGGTCTTTAGCGTCCCTGTTAGCACACCTGCGTCCCATTCCAGAAATGCCGGCTCCAATCCCACTTGGAGCGGGGTGAGTAGAACCGGAGGGGTTACATTGGTGCCATGACCCGGATGGGAGTGAGGGTTAAGGGGGTGAGTATAACGGACACCAGCTTGTAAGAGCTCTGCAGGTAGAACTCACTCCCCTTATCTCAAGTGGCACACTACAGGCTGAACTCTTTAGCATTCTTGCTAACGCTCCTGACAACTCACTCCCCTTATCTCAAGTGGCACACTACAGGCTGAACTCTTTAGCATTCTAAAGATTCCCATGCCGGAAATGCCAGCTTGAATCCCGCTCGGAGCAGGGCGAGTAGAACCAGAGGGGTTACATTACTTGAAAATGTTTGTTGGCTAAATATTGGTCTTGTGTACAACAAAACCTGCTTTCACACTAAAGCAAGCCAAACTAAAGCAAGCGTGATATGCAAGACAATTATTCTTTTGAATTGGTTCTTTTAAATGAATAGGTTGTACTTGTTCACACTGGTTTGGATGATTCATTATTAGAACAGAATTTGAATGATCGTTTAAAATCCCTTATCCAGTGATCATTAACAATAGACAAAGCCACGAAAAATTGATGACACATGGGTCAAAAAGTGTGGAAACCCTGTATACACTTCACCCTCCATCCATTTTGTCACATTTATTTATTTAACACTTTATACTGTATGATAGATTTAAAGCAAGCAGCTTTAGTATTTAACATGAAAAAAACTGTGTCAGTGTCGCTTTCAGTTAGAGTTACAACTTGATTTTCTGCTAGGCCATGACCTTGACAAGGACATTTTAATTTTTATTCCTCTGGCGTGATTCTGGGTAGTCCCGCCCACATTTAAATCTGATTTGTCTTAAAGGGGTCATATGATGCTGCTAAAAAGAACATTATTCTTCTTTATGCACCAAGAGCTTGTAACACTCCAAAGAGAAAGGAAAAATTGAAATCGCATCATATGACCCCTTTAAATACTTTTCCAAATGACTGTATATTCAACGTCAAATATGGCCTGAGACTGTGTAGGTCACGCAACATTATATGTATGTATGTTTATATATATATATATATATATATATACTGTGAAGTATATCCTGTTGTGTTAAATTCATGTGTGACACGTACAGTAAGTGTTAAGTCGGTGAATGTGTGTGTGTCTCTAACAGGTCATCAGAAGAAAATGATGCTTGCAGTGAAGAAGTTGTGTGATATTCATAAGGCTCTTCTGCAGGCAGAATCTGGGCAGGGCACACTGTGGCGCAAAACCCCCGCAGCCCTAGACCTGGTCACTATTGAGCCACCTCCTGAGAGCGGCGACCTCCCCTCGCCCCACACGCCCAAGATGATGACTTTCCAGGACAGTGAGCTAAGTACTGAGCTACAGAGCGCCATGTCCTCCCACTATAGTGGCTGTCAGGAAGGGCTGGCCATCAAGAACGCAGTAGGAATGTCTTCCAGTCAGGAGAGCATTGACACACGTTCTCGAGGCTCCGGACGCTCTCAGGAGCCCCCCAGCACACCGTCCTCCACTTCTGCTGCGACCCCTTATAGCGGCTCCCGAGAGAGTTTAACCAGCCCAGACAGCAGTCCTGCTAAAGAGCGCAACATTCCAGAAGGCCGTGACCAGGTCCCACGTCCTCAGCTACCACAGCAGCTGCCATTCAGTGCGTCCACAGGCTTTAAATACCCCACGGTGCCTGCCAAACCCAAACTGAGCTCTGCTCCTTCTCCACAAGGCTCTCCTGCTCACAAAACCCTTAATTATCCACGTTCACAATATAACAGTGCCACGCTTGACCGTCACTCTCCTAATGTGACTAAGAAGCGCACACAGAGTCTGTCCCGGTATGCTTTGTCGGATGGTGAACCAGATGAAGAGGATGATGAAGCAGCTCAGCTAGCCAGCATGGCCATGCCTTCGTATGCCACACTGAGCCGCAAGCCTACCCGTGGCCAGCTGGCACGACTTCAGCAGTCCGTCAGCCGAAGCCACTCTTTTGCCATTAGGGCTCGACGTAAAGGGCCTCCTCCACCACCACCCAAACGCCTTAGCTCCGTCAGCAGCAGCAGCAGCACTAGTGTTGAAACTGTCTCTGACGCTCCAGCATCACCTTCTGGAGGAGCTGAGAACGGCAGATCCGGGACCGTAAAGAGTATTGCAGCTGCATTAGAAACGGTCCTACCTGTGCCTACGGTGGAGCTCCTTCCGGAAACCACTACAGCTGTTTCCAGTACCAACGAAGGGTTCAGACGCAGACCTCTGAGTCAGAGTGAATCCAGCCCAGTACCCTCCAAAGCAGATACTGATAGAGCGACAAAGTCTGACTCAGAAGAGGAGGATGCAACAAAGGATTCAGGCCTGGAGAGCTCATCCTCGCCTCAGAACAGCTCTAGTGAGTGCATCCCTTTTGCAGAGGAAGGCAACCTCACTATCAAACAGAGGCCCAAAGTTGGCGGGCCTCTCAAGGCGGAGACCACTTCTGAGTTGCCAGAGAAAGCCAAACCAGCCAAAACCCCTGAAGTGCCAGAGTTCAACCTTAAAGAGTCAGACACAGTGAAGAGACGACAAAAGCCAAAAGAGAAAGAGCAGCCAAACCCAGCGTCCGACAGCAGTGCAGACGGCACGTCAGTTTTAGAGACTCAGGGCAAGGTGAAGCTCCGCATCAGTGAAACAGATATGAGTCTGCCATGTGTGGAGCTTCCAACCAAACCAGTGAAAGCACCTCCAACTCTTGCTCCCAAACCTCCCAGTCCCCTGAATCCAACACGGCACGCCTCTAAACCAGATCCTGCTCCTATAACAGGTACAGCCTACAGATACTAATAAAGCTTGTCAGCTTTTTTTTTTTTTTTTGTAGGTTTGACAAATACTGCTCTGATTTATAAATGGTATAATTTGGTAGATTGTCCTTATTACATTAAAGCTAAGAGCAGCAACATTTTGCTAGTAAGTTACAGTATATGCAGAGGACTGTAACTTTTGCATTTATTCGTGATTCTTGTTCTGTCTGCAGCTGTCGGCTCTAGCGTGACACTGAGTGTTGTACAGAGTGTCGCCTTTGCAGGACCTCATTCTCCAATCCCATACTCCCCCTCGCCAGAGAACACGGTTCAGAGTGCGATATCAGGAAGCCTCCAGGCTCTGATGGAAGGGGATCAAGGGTCAACACTGAAACATCAGAGGCTGGAGAAGACCAGCTCATCCCTGGAGGAAGCACTGAAGGCTGTGGAGAGAAAACTAACTCTGGAGAACAACAACGTGGGGTGAGAGACACTCTCCACCAGCTTCCACACTTACAGGAATAAATCTACAAAAATGATTTTGTTTTTATTGGGGGATTATCAGAATTTTTCCTTTAAATGTCATGGTTTTAAATTGTCACTAATTTATTTACCCACTGTGTCTCTTTTAGCGTTTCTCCCGTAGTGAAGTCTGCAGGGAACATCCTGGATGACATCGGGAACATGTTTGATGACCTGGCTGATCAGCTAGATGCTATGTTGGATTAAAGATTCTCATGGATGGAGCTGTTTATTTTTTTGATGACCCAGAAACAGGAGGGTAGAGATCTACGTATAGCAGCATGGTTTCTTATAATTCAGATGGAGAGCAGAGATTAACTCTTTAACACAAAAGTGGGAACCTCCACTGATCTTCATTTATAAGGACCACACAGATATTTATGGACCAGTCTTCTGACTAATGTCAGTCTAGATGTCATCTATATTTGTTTGTTTATTGTAATTCCAGCGGCTAATCAATCAGCATATATATTTGTTTTTCTTGGTTTTTTTTGTCCTGTCATTGTTTTTTTGGGCTGAACTGTGGACTGAACTGTGACCCCAATGAACTTTACATGACGGACCCAGATAAAAGAAATGCACTTAGGAGAATCATTCCTAAAGCAATATAGATTTCAAAACACTACACTGATTCAAAACATTTCTAGAAAGACTAATGGGATAGTTCACCCAAAAAGTGACAATTCTGTCATGATTTACTCATCCTGCCTTGCTGTGAGACTTTTGAATAAACTTTATGCAGCTCTTTTCCATACAGCAATAAGTTATAGTGACCTGCTGTCAAAACAAAATAACACATGATGACAATTTTCGTTTTTTGAGTGAACTGTTCCTTCAACATAACTACTTTTCAAAGCATTTAAGCTCTAAAAAAGTAGCTTGTGACTTATCCATTTCAGCAGGTAAACAGCCTTTGGGAGGTTTTGTGCTTGTACCCTTTTTTTCTTAATGACTTTGCAGATTTGCAGGTTAAAATACATGACTGACATTTATTTTTGTATGAAAGTGTGGTCTTAAAGGGAACATGATGAAAACAGTAACACTGCCTTAAGTAACTAGAGCAGCATCAATGTACAGCAAGCAATTCAGGTTTAAGTTACCACAAAGTAGTCTTTAAACTTAAATTAGTCCAAATAGTATTTAAACTTTATCAGAATATGTATATTGTACACTAAAGGTATATTTGATTGGGAAGCAAACCTGTTTGTTATATTAAAAATTGTCTTTGATCTTTCAAGCTGTTTCATTGCACTCAGGGGGTGCTGCATGCTTCAGTCCAAAAGAAGTTAAATAAAAAGCACCCATCCACACGGCTCCGGGGGGGGGTGAACAAAGGCCTTCTAGGATGCCTTGAGGGTAAGTAATTTATGGGCTAATTTTCATTTTTGGGTGAACTAACCCTTTAACCAATTTTAGAACTGCAGTGGAGGCCCACTCACTCCAAGGACAATAACTATAACTAAAGTTTAAATAATCTCTCTAATCATTCTCTGAAGTGCGCACCTATAGTAGTAAACGGAATGTTATCATCCACTAGTGTGGACGTGAATATAGTTATTATAGTTATCATTCTTGGTATGACTGGGCCATTACTTATGTGAATACTATACATTAGTGATATTCTTAAGAAGGTAATATAACACACTGATATGATTGTTTAGTATCAAGCCCCTTTTTGTTCTAATCTGTTAATATTTTCTATTAAATGAATTTAGCTATTTTGTCTTTATTACTGAGACATGTCATTGTCATTTCAGCACTTACAGGTCTGTCTTTAAGGGTTTATAAATTATCTTTCAAAATCACTTCCCTTATGGTTAAAATGAATGAAAGTTTTTACTTCCGGAACTATTTAATATTTATGCAATAATTATGATAAATTTTTCCCATTGAAAATAATACAAATTATTTTTCTATTACTTTTTAATTATGGCAGTATTTCATGTTAAAATAGAGACAATGCCTTTAATATCCAATTTTTGAAGGCAGATGAGTGCCATTTGGTGGGAGTAAAAAAAAACTTCTGCAATTCCATGGTTCCTATATAGCTCTATATAAAAGCCTAATAAATGATCTAGTTTTTAGACATAAATATATTTTTTGGATTTATATATGGATTTTTTGGATATTTGGATTTATATTTAGCCATTCTCAAAGACAACTTTTTGTAAAGGTTTAGATTTTTTTTTTTTTTTTCGTAATGTAAAAAGTTTTTGCATTAATTTGACTGCAGTCCAACCTGAACAAAAAGACATTTTATTACACATAACATCAAAGTTCAACAAAAAAGTAACAAAAATGAACAGGAATTTTTTATCAGAGTTTAATCAATCTGATTTCAACTATCTTATTTGAGACTTCTGGCTCAATTTTGCCATATTGTTACAGCCAAACCAGTTCATTTGTGTGTGTGTGTCTTTTTTGTACTCTTGATGTTTTAGAGTGTCACCCCTTCCTTGGTGTGTTTTAGCTTTTTCAAATCAAGTCCACAATTTTAATTTTTTTTGGTCACATAGTGACTGCCATAAAAGTCACCGAGTTCCATACCATTCCGATGAAGTAGCGATTTTTTAAATTTTGAAACTTTTTTTTTTTCGGTCTAAAATGACCGAACAACACCAGAGGGTTAAATCAGTATTTTTATATTTCTTGGTCTTAAATCAGCTGTGTGATGGTTTAGCGTTCATGCTAATATGTTCATGGACATAGCGTCCATGGTGTTCGTTTTAAAGTGTTGGTTTCAATCAGCACAGCTGTTCTGTCTGGTACTTTTTCCGCTGTAAACTGGTGAAAAATGACCAATTTGTGAGTGCAGGTTTATGGCTAAATCAGTCTAAAATAATTTTAGGTTTGGCTCTTTGAAAGTGTACATCAAACTAAATTACGTACAAATAGCATAGCTGAATACATCAAGACGACTATAACTTAGGTTATTTACGTGACTAAATTTCTTCTTCTTAATTATGGATGGAATAGTGCTTTGGATTTCCTTACCAACGGGTATGTAAAAGTTTGACATTTAAGTTACAGCACTGCATTCAGAAGTTCTTTAGCTACTGAGCTTTAGAGAGAAATCGATTTACTTAAAGCTGCAGTCCGTAAGTTGTGCCTCTTTGTCGCCATCTCTGTTTGAAAACCTGGAATTGCAGCTGTGTGTGGAATTATCTAGCTTGAATCTAATGAATTTAATGTTCTGAAGAGTATGTGTGGCAGTCAGTCACTGCACCGGTGTGGATATTTACTGTACTTCGCAATCACAGATTCTAGCCTACGTCTTGGAATATGATCCAAATAATTATATTGAACATTATCATAAGCTAACCGTTGTGAATCGGGCTAAAGTAAGGCGATAGTTTTGAACACTGGCTGGTTATGTACTTGCTCAAATATTGATTTCGGATAATTTTTAACCAAAAAAAGTTACGGACTGCAGCTTTAACGTTACCTGTCCAACAAGAAAAGCGACTTGGGCATTTTCTCTTTTTGGCCCATTTTCTCCGCCATCAGCACTTTGTGCATGCCCAGTATTTACGCTCGCTTTATCTCTGTCAATCCTTCTTTTTCCTGTATTAAGACATCTTCTGCTTCTTCATCCAAACATTTACTGATTCTCCCGTTGTCTCCGCTGGTAGAGCATGAAAAAATGGTAAAGTTAAAGTGCGTTCCGTTGACTAATTTTCACGCTCCGCCTCGCCAAACAACACTACGCTTACGCTATGTATCTGACGTTTATCACGTCGCTTCAACATGGCGAAATACAATTAAAACACTTTTTTTATATATATATATATATATAAAACTTTTCATATAAACTATTATGAGTACAGTCTTAATGTCACGTGAGTGTACAGCATTCAGAAGACTCTTCATAAAAAAACTATTTATTTTCTACACTCTAAAAAATGCTGGGTACAACCCAGTGCTGGGTAAAATAGGGACAACCCCAGCAATTGGGTTGTTTTGACCCAGCGGTTGGGTTACTACCCAGAAGGTTGGGTTAAACATTTAACCCAACCGCTGGGTCAA